CATCTGTAATCCCAGCTACTCGGGAGGCTGAGGGAAGAGGATGGCTTGAGTCCCGGAATTGGAGGCCGCAGTGAGCTATGATCGCACCACTGCACTTCAGCCTGGGTGACACAGCGAGGCCCTGTCTCTAAAATACATACATGCATAAATACATACATGCAATGTGTGGATCTTATATGGATCCTGATTTGAACAAACCAACTCAAAAACACATTTCTGAGATAATCAGGGACATTCGAACACAGAGTGTACATTATAAGCATGTAAGGAAATGTTAATTTTTTTAGCATGATCATGGCAATATGGTCACAATTTTTGTAAAGCCATTACGTATTAGAGAAAGATACCGAAATATTTATGGTTGAAATTATATGGTAGCTATGGTTTGCTTTAAAGCACTCCAGCTAAAGGGCATGAGGGAGTTTTCTGGGATGATGTTCTATTTCTTGATGAAGTTGGGATTACACAGGTATAGGCATTTGTCAAAACCCATCAAATAGCACACTTTGAATTTTGCATTTCTTTGTGTATAAATTTTACCTTTAAAAAGTAAACAAATCTCGAATTCTCGGTAGTGATCTGTGTATTAGTTTCCTAGGGTGACCCTAACAGGGTACAACAGAGTGGCTTAAAAACAACAGAAATGCATTCTCTCATCGTTCTGGGGCTGGAAGTCTGAAACCAAGGTGTCCGGATCCGTCCTTGCCTCAGCTACCGGCACTGTCAGGTGTCCCTTGGCTTGTGGCAGTATAACTCCAGTCTCTACCTCCATCTCCACGTGGCGTTCTCCCCATGTCTGTGTCTTCACACGGCCACCTTCTTATAAGGACATCAGTCATATCGGATTAGGAGCCCATTCCACTCTTAAACTCCTGGGCTCAAGTGATCCTCCTGCCTCAGCCTCCCCAGTACACCGCCATGCCCCACCAATTTCTTTTTCATAGAAACAGGATCTCACTGTGTTGTCCAGGCTAGTCTTGAACACCTGGCCTCAAGCGATCCTCCTGCCTTAACCTTCCTTCCAAAGTGCGGGGATTACAGGCATGAGCGACTGCGACTGGTCCCCCTTTTCCTTTTTAATGTTAACTTAGCTATTTGAACACTTTTATTCCTCCATACAAATTTTAGAATAGGTTTATCAAGTGTCTGAAAAAAAAAACTTATCTGGAATTTTGATTAAGATTGCTTTGAGGCCAGGCGTGGTGGCTCACGCCTGTAATCCTAGCACACTGGGAGGCCGAGATGGGTGGATCGCTCAAG